CATCCCAACCAATCATGATTTTCTGTAATAAAATGAAGAAATTACTATTATATAAATTTCTATGCATGTTTGTAGATTCCAGACATGAGGCCATGTTTATAAGAAATTGGAAGAACAATCTGACCAGATTCTTTATTAGAAAGAGTCATTTGCAAAATGATCTCATATTTCAAAATTCATTAAAAAAAACAAAAATAAAATAAATCGTGACTGCCTTGCATTGTATTTCTCAATCAACCTGTTGTATGATGATGTGTGCATCATTTTCGGCCATTATTACCCAATATCATAACATTATCAGTTGAACTTCCAACACTTGAGTTCATAGAGACGTGTTGTGTTGAAGGAAAGATACTGTATGAGTGATAAACCTTCAACTTACTTTTACTGATTCTAAATCCTACTCTAGCTAAAGCTGATTTGACTATATTGGGTGTGATAGGGCTCATTCTCCATTTTAATAATTTACGAATCTCCCATGGTAACAATTCCACTGAAATATGTAAAATACATTTTGATGAATCATTCACCAAGATATAAATTTCAAAATTAAAAAAAAAAACATTTTTTTTTGGGGTAAATACTCATCCATCCTATCAAGGCCTAATTTACTGGCCGAAAATTATCAAAATATTTTACGATCAAAATTTACGAGGAGTTTAACACAAGCAAACTCTACACTAAAATGAGACCACAAAAATACAAAAAGACTACAAATAAATAAAAGTATCTTACCTTTCTCATTTTCAGATATAAAATTGATAGTTGGAGGAATGTTTGGAAATAGACTAGGACGTAGTGCAGGACGGGTATAAACACCACCAGTTATATTAGATAATGACTTAGATTTTAATATAGTTTTTGTGTTAGAGGGACGACGAATTCGAACATTGACAGCTGAGGATGCTGGTCTACCAGACGACTGCCGAGACAGACTGCTTGTTATAGAGAAACCATCAGATTCACCTACAGACAACAAAATATAGAATTAATGAATTGATAAATCAATGATAAAATGAATGGATGATTTGATAAATAAATGAATTAATGAACGGATTAATGGATATATGAATGAATGAATGAATGAATGAATGAATGAATGAATGAATGAACGGATGAATGAACGAACGAACGAACGAACGAACGAACGAACGAACGAACGAACGAACGAACGAACGAACGAACGAACGAACGAACGAACGAACGAACGAACGAACGAACGAACGAACGAACGAACGAACGAACGGAACGAACGAACGAACGAACGAACGAACGAACGAACGAATGAATGATCCAACCATCATCACATAACCACAACGTCAAACATCAGAGTGGAACATTACATTATTTCTGGAAAAGACACCACACTGCTCAATTAAAACAGCATTTGGTCAACCATTATTTACTGACCTTCAGAATCAACACAAATATCATCATCTAATCCATCAACGAACGAACGAACGAACGAACGAACGAACGAACGAACGAACGAATGAATGATCCAACCATCATCACATAACCACA